GTTTTTTCGGCAAATGCTTCTAGCTAAACAAATTAAGACTGGCCACCAGAACTGTCAGAAAACACCGACCTTGAAATTCCAGCTTTCCAACTTCCCTGCTCTTGAGTTAGCAACTTACTGGAAAAAAATTTTCATGGGCACGTGCGAGTTTAACGCGTATACCCGAGAGTTAGGTTTGAGCTGAATGAAACTTAGGTGGACGAGGTATATCCTCTTAAAATTACAGGTTTGAGCTGAATGAAACTTAGGTGGACGAGGTATATCCTCCTAAAATTACAGTCCTTTAGCTTATCAGATCCCCGAATTATGAACTTTCCCCAAAAAAATTTTGTCCGGCCCGTACACGGGTACCACGCGGGTATTGGCGCCAATTTTGTAGATTGGGGCCCGTACGTGCATGTAGATTAAGTTCCCAAAGTTTCAGCTTTTGTAGGTCTTGAGATGAAAAACCGTGACAGGCGCATACACAGACACACAGACACACACACACACACACACACACGGATAACCCCGTCACAATATGCGTTTTGTAACGCTGTTACACAGCACAAAACGCATAAAAAGCATTAGACATCGGCAACGTTGATAATGCAAATAAATGTGAAATGTCAATGCCATTGTTATTTCCATCTTCTCTTCTAACTTTCTGCAAAAAACGGACATAGCCGGAAGCAACTTGAACGGGCTAGCATGTACCAGCAGCATTCGCTTAATCGACAAGGTTGTCGATGGCTCCCTCTTTCGAGCTCTGGTCAGAACACTAAGTTGATGTTGGATTTTAGCCCTGGGCATACCGAATTTCCGTCGAAACAAATGAACAACTGCAGAAGGACTAGCTGCTCTAGCTGCGTAGTCGAAATCTCGATGTTTAGCAAGAGAGCCATGACATTTTTCGAAACTATAGGCCTGCTAGTATAAAAAACTGTTAAGTAGATTGCAGCCTTCAGGCCAACCCTGGAAGTGCAGATGGCTGGATGCGCAAGTGCAGGAGACAGTAAAGAAGAGAGTGAGATAAAACGTTTCGGTCCATTAAGTCATATAATTTAAGGGTACAACTTAGGCATGAAAACTGCCTTCAAATATGGTTAATACTCTAGAGAAACAGAGTCTCAAATACGCCACGCTATCGTCAACAGTGATTTACAGAAACTTTTAGCCAATAGAGCGAAGAGAAGTCGTTGAAAATGCGTTTGAGTGCTGACACAAAGAAATCAAGGCCTAAAGGCCATCAAATTACAATGCAGCAAACCCTCCCCTTCCCAAATATCCCGCAATGACAATTCAATTAGCCATGTATAAGTAGGAAAAAAAGAACTAATCACCTGAAATCGCTGTGTGCTTTCACAACCGATACGTCATTGCTGCATTCCGATAAAGTCAATTCTCCGTTGCTCTCCAAGCAAGCATTCAATCGATCCAGTACAGCAGCACTGAAAAAAAAAACCATTTTCTCTAATTTTTGTTACCTACTGCATAATTTCTTTAGCGTCCCCACCTTGAGTAGTTATTTTTCATGCAGGCATCATCACAATGGAGGGGAAAAATCACAAAAGAACACTCGGAGCATTGTGCCAACTAAGACAGAATC